TAACATCATGTTATGCTTTCTTCAGCAAGAGGTGTCCATCTTTAGGCCAGCATGTCTCGCTCTGCTTCGTCTTGTACCGAAGAAATACTGGTTTATTCTTAGATCTCCAGATCCTAGCCAGATGGTTTTATCCTACCACCACCCTGTGGCATAGGGAAATATTAATCCAGTTTCTGGAAGAGAACTTTGCTTAAATTAAATACCAGCCAACAGACAGTTTTTGGCAGGGTCAAGAGCTGAGCAGAGATCTTGTGTGTCCCAATATGTGCCACGTTCCTTAGGACATTGTCTAACTCTAAGTGCTTATGCTGCTGTCTCTGAAGCTACCAAGTAAAAAGTCTGGTAATGACCAAGATGATGACAATTTTAATTTTACATATGTATTTATATATATGTGTGTGTGTGTGTGAGTGTGTGATAGGTGTTCTTGCTTGAAACATGTCTATACACAGGTGTGTTTCTCTTCAATCAGAAGAGTTTTGCATCTATTTTTTTCCTGCCTTCACTTTCATCTGACCTGTTGTTGAAAGAGCAATGTGCGCAGCCTCCTCTAATGAGGCAGCCAGGAGAGCGTGGTAGTGTGGTATGGGTGCTTACGCTTCTTTTTCTGCAATAAAGGCAGAATTTCTGTTCCTTTGCACCCCTCTGCCAGTTTTAGGGACAAATAGTCCCTCGCTCATCGTGAACTTGGAAGTTCATTACTGAAGTGTTGAGTATTGCTGTCCTGAAACTGAGCCGTGGCCAAATTAAGAAGGTATATATTCAATAAGCCTTTGGTTTTGGAGTCCCTGCTGTGCTACAGGAACATGATGCACAAAGAAAGAAATTTTGTGCTTCTGTAGTGGTTTTTTGTTATAAAGGTGCAGGAGTTTTCGTTTCTTGCCTGAACTATTCAGCTTAAGAAATTTTCTGGCATTTGAAGCGGTGACAAGTCCTCACGGCTTGCATTTGGGATTCTAATGCTTTCTGTCCAGAGATCCCGAGGAGCTACGTATTTATCAAGTTCAGCTTTTACAGCGTCTCTGTGAGGTGAAATTATCATCGCTTGTCAGATGGGAAGACAGCAGCGCGTGGTGTGACCTGCCTGCGATCGCGCTGCAGAGCCGTGCCAAGAGGGGAGTGGATTCCTTCCTCCCTTAACTTCAAAACCATCCTTTCCTCGAAGCGAAGAACTTCCCTCGTTGCATAGGCACGGGCGATGTTACACATCCGAATATGCTCCAGTAAGAAATGCTGTCTTAACAGTTTTCTCAGACTGTTAACAGCTAACAGCTGTCAGCTTGTTTTATTTCAGCGTTGGACAAGTTCACCTTCGGGGCTGCGACGGCTGAACCCATCCCTCCTGTAACCTGTGCATCGTCTGGACCAGGCGCTGCATACGGGCCCGCTGACATCATAAACAATTGCTCTGTATAGCTTTAGTAATGTGAGCATTAATATTGATCCAGCACTGACTTTTCTAACAACAACCAAAAAAAAAAAATGTATCTGTTACCTTGAGAAACCTCCCAAACGGCTCTGGTCTCCTTTCATTACAGGAGAGAGTTATTAGGGCAGATGGCCGAGGTGATATCCATTTGACCTATAGATGCTAACTCAAGAGTGGGATCATTAATAAGGTGGCCAGAGATAGGGAGGGATGGCAGTAAAGAGAGTTAAAAAGCAATCCTGTGCACAAAGGATTGCGCGTCAAGAAGTGTCGGGCAGCGAATGAGACGGGCAAAGGTGAAAAAGTGGCTGGTTTTAAATGCTCGTCTCCAAGTCAAGCAGATTATGCTTAAAAGCTGATGTTTTCCCATATTTGGTTCCTGCTCCTGTATGAATCCTTCTGGAGGAAAAAGAGCCTGTAGCTCTTGAGCGTAAGACAGAGATTTCGCTTTCTCTAATTAACCCCCCCGCCAAAAGTGCTTTATTATTTTCTGCCATGGTCACAGCTGCGGTGGCTCAGGTTTGAAAGCCGCTGCCTGGCAGAAAACCAGCCCTCGCTGAGGATCAGACCGTGGTCTCGTTCCAAGAGAAATTCGGGTTTCATTTGACCACGATAGGATTCCAGATTGTCATCTGAGCATGTCTGAAAAGTGGTGAATGTGTGTCAGTAGTTAAGTGCTCATGAACTTCCTTAGTCCCTGGATTGTTCAGGACTGACCCAGGCAATTTTTTCCAGATGTTTTGGGGAATCCAAGTCCATATAAAAGGGATGGTAATGCTTCTGCTTCCTTACTAAGTTGTCTTTGTGGCTTGCAGGAATGTGCATGAAAGCTGGAGCCAAGACACCCCGATTTCTAGTCTCACCTCTACAAACTGCACTTTAACCTTTTCTGCCCTTCCCTGGCATCTCCACACAAGATCACAGAAACTTCGTGGTCCCGGTGCAAACTTTACTTGGCCTTATTAAAAAAAAAATAAGCATTGCTCTTTTTTTATTGTATAAAACTCCAGTCCCTGTTCTCCAAACCTCCTCTGAAATTGTTTTTTCGCCTTTGATCCAGCAGCTGCTGGTTTTCTGTAATCCTGAGTAGGTAAAACATGAGAAGCACCTTGGGATGGGAAGGAGTTACAAAAATATGAAATATTGCAGTGCACTTCCGTGAGACACGGTATAACAAAGTGGCTGTTTAAGCAGACGCCGGGCAGAAATCTTTAGCAAATAAATGTTCTGATTTTTCTAGTAAATGTAATTTTTTTTGCTGTTCATTGCAGTAGTTTCTCTTCCACTTTATTGACTCTTTTTATCCCTGTGTTTTTTTATATTAAAATGGTTTATGTTGCTATCTCTAATGTCTGCATGACCAAACCCTGTCTTTCCTAATGTTTGAATTTGGCTACACTTTTCATCTTGTAGCCGAGGCAGAAGACTTCTCTAAATCCCTTTTTTAAAGTATGGTGTTTGTTTTAAATTTTATCACTTTCTAAAATTTTAAATGAAAACAAACTCTCAGTCGTGAACTAGGTTGAATGAGGTTGGGAGGGAATTGCTCGGTAGCAACCGGTGCTGTATGACATCTGATGAATGCTAATTCTTCATCCCCAAAACAGTTTTGAGCAGATGAAGGCAGCCGATTTCTGCAACAGCTTAGAGATTGAAATGACTTCCACAATCTGGAAGCAGATTTTTTTCCCCATAGCAGGTGCAGGCTCGGTCCACAGTGATTTCTCAGTTATACTCTAACTTCGCAGTTTAAAAAATTTAATGTCAGTGCCCAGCCAGGCAAAACCTAACTCCCTACCATTTCTGTTTTTCACGGAAGGCTAAGACTTTATCCTCAGGCAAAGTCTCCTCTCTGGGCTGGCTGCTGTAAATCCTCTGGGCCCTGGCAAAAGCCAGAGTTGCTAGCTCATTTTACTTAATTTGTGATGCTGGCAAGATTTGTGCTGCAGCCCAGGGCTCTTGACTCAACTCTCCTAAATCAGAGCATTGACACATTACAGTAGAGAAACACCAGCACAGAAAACCTGAAAATAAACGCCTCGAGAAGAGATATTTCAGAAAGATGCTGGCTTACAAAGCTTTAAAAGGTGTTAGTGTAATGTTACGTTTCTCAGTGTTTGCTTCTTTAAAACCACCTGCTCATTAGGAAGTTGGGTTTTAGCCACTGTGATAACAAATGGGTTTTACTATGTATTTCATGTGAGAATCTTAGGCCACTTGATATCTTTCCACAGAAACCCTGCTAGACAAAATGTCATGGCTTTTTGCAGGTGGGTAAACAGACACATGGGGTGACGTGAAGTGAGGCTGTCTACGCAGGAATGTTACCTGGCGTAGCTGTAATGACGTAATTACGGCAAATACAAATGTGTCAGGTTAACGCCCGTGTGGACGTTCTTATTCCAGACTAAGAATCCTTTTTCCTGCTTGGATAATTCCATTTTGAAAGTGAGGAAGTGTATCCAAGAGGATAAAGTGCTTGGCTGTGGTTGGGGAGATCAGAGGTTCTCTTCTCAAACCTGCTGTGGATTTGCTGGGAGATCTCACGAGAATTTTCTCCTTTCTCTGCACTGTAATGTCACATGTGTGGGACTGATGATGGTGTTATATGTAGAAAGAAAAAATGATTGCTATTAACAAAAAAACAGAGCAATCACACAGGTGGTGTCCAGGGTGGCTTGAAACAGTTGGTGCCTGATGTGCACACTGTGCATGTTTCAGGTTTATCTTACTTTCAAAAGCTGGTTTTTGCTCTCATAGCCTGAATGCCCACTTGCGACTGGAGCGTGTTAGGTGTATTCCTCCAGCAAAATACCTTTCATTTTGGTTTCACTATAGCAGGAAGCCAGCATCTGCACTCCAGGATTGCTCCGTGGTACAAACAAAACAGCAGTAAGCAGGGATGATGGGGAGATGCAATTCTGGGGTGTTCCTATATAATCATAACAGATAACGTCCATGTGCAGCAAGCTCTTCAGATGGTATCAGAGACAGAACCTGGCAGGTTGAATGGGGCTTAGTCCTCTGCTTTAACCTTCAGACTGTGCTGCTTCAGGAAAAACAAACCGGGTTTAGGAAGAGATTTTCCTAGTAGTTAATCTGCAGTCAAAATTGTGTGATACATAAGCAAGACAGCTAATTCCAGTGAATTTTACTTTGATGTATGCTTTGCAGTCCACTTTGTTACTGCAAAAAATGCTTCAACCTCTCTCCCTTTGTTTAAAATGAACGAAGCAGGTTCGTGTTACTGTAATCCTAACAACTGCAGTAAGAAATAATCAGGACATTTTGAGGTAGAACTGACACTTCGGACCTGCTCCACAAGGTCTACCATCATTGGTGAGGTCTACCGTTACATCCTTTGCTCATGGTTTGGACGTTACACTGTGATGAGGGCACCTGCCAGTTGTGATGGTGGCTGATGCGAGACAAAGGAGATTCCACTTCCAAGTAGACCAGTAAGAAGGTGTTAGGTGGCCACTTACCTCTTATGGGCTGAGATGCATGTGACCATTTGCTCTGATGCTTGTTTTTTTCTGTAAAACACATTTTTCCTAATGCTTTTTAAAAAATGTTCTTTGTTACAGAAGAGGAAGAGGAACAGGTGCCTACCGATGGAGGTACATCTGCAGAGGCCATGCAGGTGCCACTGGAAGAAGAGGGAGACATGGAAGAGGATGAGGCAATTAATGATGAGAACTATTTGAGCAAGAGACCATTAGAAAGTCCCGATGCTGAGGAATTTCCGCCTGTGAAACGGCCAAAACTATCTGTTTCCAAAGCGGACACCTTGGACGGAGCTTTGGAACCACGTGAGCCTCTTAGCTCAATAAATACTCAAAAAGTACCACCAATGCTTTCTCCAGTTCATGTTCAGGACAGTACAGACTTAGCCCCTCCTTCACCAGAACCACCCATGTTGGCTCCCATTGCAAAATCACAAGTGCCAACCCCCAAAACTTTAGAGGCAAAGCCATTTGTGCCCAAAACAAAGTCCAAAACAAGTTCTCCAGGACAGAAGACAAAATCACCTAAAACTACGCCCTCACCAGTGGTAACTGGAAGTCCCATACGTTCACCAAAAACTGGATCCAAAGAAAAAAAGTCACCAGGTCGCGCCAAGAGCCCAAAAAGTCCTAAAAGTCCAAAGGTTCCTGCTCATGTTCCCCAACCACCTGTCAAGCCTGAAACACCAAGTAGAACCCCTCTGGCTGCATTAAGTGACAAGATAGGAAAAGAAAACATTCAAGTAAAACAAGGACAGACACCACCTGAGCCTGCCATCAAGCCAAATATTGAAAACCAGACTAAGAAAGTACCGGTAATGGACAAGACCATTGATGATTCGATCGATGCTGTAATTGCTCGTGCATGTGCAGAACGAGAACCGGATCCCTTTGAGTTTTCCTCTGGTTCCGAATCAGAAGGGGAAATTTTTACCAGTCCTAAAAGACTTTCTGTTTCAGAGACTACAACTCCTAAACCTTCTGTTTCCACCAATAATGCAAATAAGGCAGGAGCAACTCCAATACCTCCCTCAGGTGGGACTTCAAGTTCAGACATTTCATGGACAATGGATGACTCGATTGATGAGGTCATTCGAAAGGCAAACATGGGGACACCTTCTAATCCACCTACCAACTTCACTTACTTCTCCTCTCCTTCTGCTTCACCACCAACTCCAGAACCTCTTCTCAAAGTCTATGAGGAGAAAACCAAGTTGGCTTCATCAGTAGAAGTGAAAAAGAAATTGAAAAAGGAGCTGAAGACAAAAATGAAGAAGAAAGAAAAACAAAAGGAAAAAGATAAAGATAAAAACAAGGAGAAAAACAAAGAGAAGGAAAAGAACAAGGAGAAGGATAAAGACAAGGAAGGAAACAAGGAAGCGAAATTTCAGTGGAAGGAAATACTCAAAGATGATGATCCCTATAAATTCAAGCTAAAGGACTTTGAGGATACTGACACAAAAGTAAAGTTGAAAGATGGCAATACTAAAAAAGAGAAAGAAAAACATAAAGATAAAAAGAAAGAGAAAGAGAAAGGTAAAAAAGACAAGGATAAGAAAGACAAAGAGAAACTTAAAGATAAGGGTAAGGAAGATAAGATAAAGGCTCCATCAGCACCTCTTGTGTTACCTCCCAAAGAAATGTCTTTGCCCTTGTTCAGCACACCAGCTGCCATGAGGCTTCCCAGTATGTTACCTTCTTTGTCTCCAATGCTTCCTGAAAAACTGTTTGAGGACAAAGAGAAACCAAAAGAGAAGAAGAAAGACAAAAAAGAGAAGAAGAAAAAGAAAGAAAGGGAGAAGGACAAAGAAAAGGAAAAGAAGGAGAAAGAAAAAGAGAGGAAAGAAAGAGAAAAGAAAGAGAAAGAAAAAGAGAAACACAAACATGAAAAGGTAAGCTGTTTAGATGAGTTGAGATGGCATACTTGCCTGAAAGATGCACATGGATTCCTGTATTTGCTGCTGAGCATTGTTTAAAGCTTTGAGGAGATGTGTGATTACAGGTTTGGCATTTTTTAAAAGTAACAGCTCCAAGGAAGACATCCCCCAAGAGTTTCAGGGATTGTCCCATCCCTTTGGAAGACAAGACAATGCAAGTTCAGTTTTGTGAATTTGAAATGCGAGATTGTCTTTCTGATTTTCCTCAGCTCAGTTTTCACTTTGAAAAGCTGCGGCTCAGACTCAACAACAGCACGCGCACAACAAATGTATGTAGTGTTGCAATGCACAAATTTTGTTCTGTAGATTTCCACTAGTAGGGCCAGCAACCGTATACCTTCCATATAAACTTTAAATTAAGTTTCTAAAAGTCCACTCTTTCAAAGCTTGTAGAAGTCTGTAAATTACCAGGTGGACAGAAATGAGGAGCAGAGTGCCTTCAAATAAAGCAGCTCACCAGTTATCTGAGATGTTCAGAAGAGCTGCTGAAATCCTCTCTTAGCAAGACCGCCCCCTTGTTGCTCCAATTTGTTTGAAGTAAGAAAATTGTTTTCAAATTATGATCTAATTGTTCAAATGTCACCTTTTGTTTTGAGTCTTGTGCTTGAGCGAGAGGAGAGCTAGTTTTCAAGTGGGTTGAGCTCCTTCCACTCCTGTAACTCTTACTGATTTGCATCAGCCAAAGATAATTTCTTCTTTCCAATATCACCTAATCTTGAGAATATATTTAATATTTAAGAAATGAAACCAGCATATTTGCATGTTATCAGATTTGAAATCCTATTAGAAGCAGCTCCCCTAATTCAGAGTTTGCTCTAATTTTTTGTCACTTCACCTTATAATACGCATTAAATTCTTAATATTAGAAAAAAAAGAAGAAAAAAGAAGACAAGAAAGAGATTGTGATAACCTTGGATACAGGATTTCCTAAATCTTTATCCTTTGCATTAGGAAGCACTATCTAAGTTCTGGTTTTACCAAGATGCTCTTTACATCCTGCTTTGAGTGTAATACTCAGTTCATACAAGCTCAGATTTGAGACATTCCTCACTTTTCTTTTTTGCCACTGTACTCTGTTGTGCTGCCTGCTGGACTTGAAACAAGCTGCTGATTTCAAAACTTGACATATTTTTTAAGCTGACAAACGGTTTTTCAGTGCAGAATCCAGGTGACCTGGAGAACCAACATTTGTCTACTGTGGATGAGTTGGTGATCGACAGGGTGGTGGTGCAGTTGTCCTTGTTAATTTAATGTCCTGTTTTAGACTGCAGCGACACTTCCATGGATTCCCCATTTTGTTTGTCTGCCCCTCATGCCCGAGATGCTTTGTCAGTATTTCCTTGAGAATCTCTGCAGAGATTTCTCTTTAAGTTAAATACGTGTGTATATAAAATAGAGACAATGAGTTGCTTGGTTTTCATACATTTGATTTTGCGTTTCTTCTGCAAATCTCTATATTTAGTTTGCTTTAGAGCAATATAACAGATACACAAACAAATACAAACTGATAAAGCTTTGGTATAGACCGAACATATATATATTAGGAAAAGGAGTTCAACAGTAATAAAAGCTTGGACAAATTAAATTGACAAAGCTGCCCATTACGTTGGCAAAAAGTCCCTGTCAAAAGATAAACTTTAAAGCTAGAATGCATGAAAGAGTCCCCAGATAGAATTAAAATTTAAACTGATTCTTGATAGATAAGCTTTTTTTAAATCCACCTCTTTGCTGCAAGTCAGGATTTTAAAAATAAATTTCCCCTTTAAATCTCTTGAGCGATTTTCATTTTTTGCAAGGCCGCACTGCTGGTGTCCTGGAAAAATGGAGAGTTAGAGCTTTATCAGTTGGTGCCCTGAGGTATGTGGCAAAGAAGCTAAATCCTTGAAGATTAGCAAAAAAAATGCAGCACATGGCAATAAGGGGCTTATATGACTACTAGTATTAGTTCAGGTGAAAGAAGTATTGCTTATACATAAAACTGGACAAATCCACTGACAATGTATTTTTAGTTAGCTACAAAGGAGTCTTATATTGCTGGACTTTACCTCTTTGGTGATTTGGGAAGCTTAGTAATCCACTGTAAATGCTCTTCTGCTGGCCCCAATTCCCAGTATTACTCCAGAATGCTGCTCTTTCATTTTAACCCCTAAAAGTACATGTTTCCTTAATTTAGCTTTTAGATCACACAATGACTTATTTAGCCAGCAGTTGTGCTGTAAGAGCAAATGATCAAGTTACTGCTCAGACACTTAACCTTCCCTGGCGCGTCCGCTTCAGAGGCGTAAGTGCAACCTGAAAGATGAGTTTATGGGCTAACGGCAGTTTCAGCTCTTGATAGCCAGTAGAAAATACCGGATTGCTATTTCTAATATTGCTATACTTAAACAAAAGAGTGACTCAACGGTAATGTTTCCATTTTTCAGTATCATTATAGTTACTACGTAAGCGTGCATCCCATCCTGTTGGGGAATTGAAGTTTTTTATCAAGTTTTCCCTGTAATTTTGCCCCAAGATGCTGGACGACACAGAACAGCAACCAGTACTCTGCATAAATGGCAGAAAGCAGAAGCTGGAGGCTGCATGCTCGAAGTGTTCAGTGGTGGGACGGAGGAAGAGGAGCTTTTGTGTAGGGCTTGCCTGCAGCTCTGTGCTCTGCAGCAAGTGCTGGGGTGCTGCCCTTGGAGCCAGAAGAGGAGACGGTGAGGTGGGGCACCGCCTTGCATGCAGTACCAAATTAAAAGCAGACAGTTGAAGCAGTTACACCCCACTTCTATGATGGAGATTACCGGGTGTGCTGTAGGAGTGGCAGAGCAGCTCACGAGGCAGCTGCTGACCCAGTTTCAGCTAACCTTAATACGCTGAGCTGTAAACTAAAGTAGTTGAGGAACTGCTTCATGAGAAACGGAGCCGTCCTTGCATCAGGGCAGGGCTTGCCAGAGGTGCCCCAAAGTAAACTGCCCTTACTCGTGAATCAAAATCCTGTCATCGATGTAGAGGAAAACCAGGATATCCAGGATATAACTGTGAATGCTCCTTAATTTTCCCTCTGCTCCAGTCACACAAACCCTACACACAAACCCACGTTATAGAAAGATGCTTCCTCTCCTCTTGTATCAAAGGATAAGATTTAGGATTGTCATGGAGCCCAGTTTTCCTCTCACAGCAGACTGCAATGTTGGTATCTGAGCATAAAGAAGTGTTTTATAAAAGTGCTTTTCTTCTGCCGCATGAGCCCACATCACCAGTGTTTAGAACATCTTGGTGGTATACAAACAACAACACAAAGGACCTTTATACAAAGGGTGGATGACATGGGTGCCTTTCTGTGCTGTGTGCTGGAAGCTGAGCAGCAGTGATTGTCCTAGGAAGTTTTGTGTTCGAAGTAGGCAAGGGAGGAGAAACCTGCGGGAAAAGAGGTAAGATAGTCTGTGCAAAGCCACATGCCTGAACCCAGGGTTCAATTCCATGTCTCTACCCAGTGGACAATGCTACAGGCTAAGATGCTGGGAAAGCAGTTAAGAGACTTACCCATGGAAAGTGGCAGTGAAATTGCTGCAGGCATTAGGAGCTCCAGAGAAAAAAAGCTCTTGCAACGCTCCAGGGGAATGACATAACAAAAAATCGTGCTATATAAACAAAAGCACAGAGAGGAGCCTGTGAAGTAGGCTAATACATATCCATGGAAAGCTTTATTGAAAAGCATGGTTAACTGTGTCAAAACAGAAGTACTACTCAGGCTGCAGCCCTTCTCTCTCTGGAGTAGACATCTCCTAACGAGTAGCTCCGATTCTTTGGGCAAGGTGCGTGGCACAGGACTTTGTCATTACCGTTCCTCAATGGAAGTCCTAACGGTCCTCCCACTCTGGCCTGCCGTCTCCTGCACTGCTTTCTGTGCTTTGAATTGATTGTTCGCCCTCCCTTTCTTTATGAAAGCTTTTTAAAACAGATTTCTCCCACTGAGAGTTGCTCAGGTTTCCATTTAGTGTATGCATACTATTTTTGTCTCTTTAAGTTCCTGGACCAGATTCAGCTAAGTGGTTATTTTATTAAATACAATGACAAAGATGCTCAAAATGAGATCAGTCTCCCTCTCTTTCTATATATATACACATATATATAATGTATATACACTTCTCATATATATGGATATAAGTTGAGCAACTTATGTATGGAGAATCATTACAATGTCAGCTGTAAAATCTGAGATGATTCTGTACAGGTTTTGCAAAGCAGTAGCTCCATGGGAGTTGGTAATTTTGGCAGATACTGGTTCAAAGAGTTTAAGAACATACTCAAGTGATCTAAACTCCACCAGATACTGAGGTTGCAAACCAGGCCATTTGAAAAATAGCCATTAGAAACCTCAGCCTAATTGCATGAAAAAGCAATGGTTCTGTTATACCTACGTGGATAAGCACTTTCATAAAGTATTCAGTGTTGGTGCTTGGGGTTTGTTTGCTTCCTCTGTGTTTAATTTTTATTCAAGAGGGTCACAGCACGTTTATGTGATGAACCTGGGAAATAATTGAATTTAAATCCCAGAAAAAAGTGCAAACACCAGTGGGCACCTATCAAGTTTGAGTAGTAAGGTCAAAGCGTTTCATGTCATTGTTTAGAAACATAGTGGGATTTTTTGTGTCTCTAGAAAAACACTAAATCGGGAAGAGTTGTTAACAAAGTGTATGAGCAGGTACAGATGCAATGAAATATCAAGTTGACTTTTTAGTCTAGAATTCATACTTGTGATTTGCTGTGGCTGGGAGCTCCCAACAAATTCTGACCATCCATGCTACAGCATGAAGAGTGAGAGAGCGGTGATGAGTCTGTCATAGGTCTGTCTCATTAAGCCCATATACTCTATTTGGTTAACTCCATTAGTGCTTTCATATAATTAATATATTTTGGGAGTCTGCTTGCAGTCTTTGATTGATGATTGTGTTCCTTTGTACAGATAAAGGTGGAACCAGTTGTTCCAGCTCCATCACCAGTTATTCCTCGGCTGACTTTAAGAGTGGGTGCAGGCCAGGACAAGATGTAAGTACAAATAAATCCATCTGCAAGGTGTATGCTTACCACAGTTCATCCTCCGTCACTTGTGGTAGTTCTTATTTTCAGTGGGAAATGCTTAAAAATCAGTGGCAAATGGTAGTCATACAGCTATGACATCTTTTGACCATTCTAATGAAAAATCAAGCAGAACACTTACCAATAGAAACTTTTTGGACATTCTGCCCTTTTTCTTCTACTCTCCAAGTAGAACCCATCATCTTCCATCCATCCTACTGTGTTTCCCACTCCGTGCCTTTCTAGGGCATGGATTACAAGACTGCATCTAGACTTGCGTGATGCCTCCAGTGACATTTAGTGAGGTTTCCGTAATGGATGATTATCCCTAGTGTAACCTACAGCTAAGTTTCATAATGCTCTTCAGCTAACAGTTGTTTTATGCTTTAAAACATAACAGTTGGAATTCCTTTATACGCATCTGTTTCATTATAACTGTTGATGATTATTCATGAGTCTACCTAACGCATTTCAAATGTTGGTTCATTAGCTCCCTAATTATTGGGTGCTGTTGTACAAATAATAGTTACTTTGTACTGTATGAGCATAAATAGGATGATCCCTATCCTGAGATCACACAGCATAAACAGGTGCCTGGAGAGGCTGGGGAAACCATGCGTCACTGGGCTTTTTAGGCTGGTCCTGTGTTGTAGGTGAAGGGTTTCTTTTAATCAGGTTTTTCATGTTTTAATGGCACAGAGCACGCTTTCATGTCTGATGGTAAACATGAGCACCAAACAGATTTTTCCTTTCCATTCATCACATTAAATATCACTAATGTCGTTGTTTCTCTTCTATAGCCATTCTGAACTAAATCTTCTAATTGCTAATTTTTCTGCTTTATAAGTTAAATGGCATCTTTGATGATTATTCTGTTTTTCTATGCTGTCCTACTCCTCCTCAGTAGGTAACTGTGAGTTTTACTGGTTTGAAGTTTCTATGGCACTTCAGCCATTTCTTGGTTTCTATGGGTCACCCCCACCCCAAATATCAGGGCTTTTTCCTGCTCTTCAATCGTTTGTGCTTTCTTTCTTTCACAATATTTGAGTGTGATCTAAAATTTCTGTGCCTCAGATTGCTGTATAAAAGCTCTAGCTTTCTCAGAATAGTTTTCTGTCCTGCTGTGCATGATTTGAATGTGCACGGCTGGACAGGCTGTCCTTTTAAAGCCCACAAATCCATTTTCCTCCTTGAAGAGCTACGGACACTTTTAAACTCCTCTTTTTCAAGGACTGTACAAGGGTTTATATGGGGAAAATTAAGTCATATTTTCAAGGCAGAACTTCTGAATTAAAGTTCTGAAGCCATATTTTAGCACCAAAGAGTTGACTTTGTTTCCCATCTTATCTCACCCCAGTCTTTCTCATTCCCACACACATTCTGGGAAGGGACTTCAAACTCCGTCTGCTGCTGCAGGTCATATGGGTACATCATCGTCAGCCCTGCCAGCCTGTAGTGGGTCAGAGATACGGACGTTTTGTGGCCTTTTGTGAAACTTGCTTCTATTCCAGTTTCCTTTGTGCATCTTTAGTGGCACCTTGACCACCATCTGAGGACCTCAGGTCTTGAGATCCTTAGCACAGCAGAGCCTAGAGTTTAAACCCTGACTTCAGGATGGGAGATACACAAAGCTGACTTAGCTCAGAGTTTCCTGACAAAGTAGGGGAGAATTAAACACCAGGGCCAAGATCTTCAGGGGCAGGGGAGTCCTGGAGGCAGCTGGTAGGAAATGCTAAAAAGTGGTCATGCTCCAGTTCTGTGCGGCATCTGTACTGGGAGGGGAACTTCATCTTCTCCATGTGACACTTGTCCTTGAGATTGCTTTAGGCTGCATAACCAAATGAGGTTTGAATCATTAGTATTCCATCTCTAGTTGCTTTCTGGTTTCCCTTTTCTACCGTGAATACCTCTCCTCACTGCCCACCGTACGGGCACCCTAAAGTCCTGTTATAATGGCTCTATCACCCAATTGCACCTTCTGACTGACGACAAACAAGAACTTACAGAGCTCTGTAATAGCTTTTAGGATTTAGAATCATAGAATCATTTGTCATAGTATTCCAAGGCAAAATCCAGGAAGAAATCTGCTGTTACACAAGTAAATACAGTTTGGGCCACGGGGATCTGGGAACTGTTTTGTGTTGCGTGTCGATCTGGTGACTAATATGACAGAGCTCACAATAGAGTTGTCTTGCTCTAAATAATACTTTTTCTTTTATCCTCAACAATTTATATTCAATGTGAACTCAGAGCATATTTTAATTTTCATGTCTTGTGATCATTATGAAAAGGACTGGTGTGGCTCTGAGGCAAAGCATTACATAGCCGTGCGTGTGGCTTGGACTCTGAAGTAAACCAGAAGTCTCTGCGACCTCTGTTGAAAGTTACTCGTTGAAAAGACCATAGTAGAATCATCAACATTTAAGTAGCTCCTAACAGGCAGAAACAAAAGCTTCTGTGACATGACATGTTAAGGGAAAGTTAAACTTTTGTTTCATCTGTGTTGGTAATGAAGTTCTGAATATCTAGTAATTATCATCTGGAAATGTTGTGTTTCAATTAGCATGTCTCTGGAGTTTACTGTCATGGAATTATTTGAGAATACCATGAATTGCCATGGAAAGGTATGAGAAAAGTTTTTTGGGATTAATAGAATTTGATGAGCGAAAACTAGATGGACTAATGAGTAATTTCAGTTTCCTCTGTTAGAGAGAAAAGCTGTTTGGAGGCTTTTGGAGGTATTTAAGTATCTATTCAACTGGAGGTCGGTTTGTTTTGGGGCAACATCATAAAAAACATTGTCTTTAATGGCAGTACTTACAGATCTTGGTGAGGCCAGGAAGTCTTTCAGGTGTCTGAAGAAAAAGTGTCAGGTTGATGGTGCTTGAAATGGAGATTCGCATCACGCCATAAACACAGCACAATGACAGCAACACACGTTTACTCAAATAATACAGCAGTGGTGAGGAAAATGCCTTTGCAATGTAGCAGTTTATTCTCTATCATTGTGCTTCTTGGCTCCTTTGCTTGGACCAACATACAAAGCAGTGACAGCAGTGGCAGAGAAGTGTCCTTTCTTGTTTCTGTGCATACGAGTATGTATTGCTCCTAGGTTTAAAGTGATCTTTGCATTAGAGCTTGTCTGGTGTGCAAAAATTCTTACAACACACATTATTAGTTCAAAAGAGACAGCTATTAATAACGTTAGGTTAATGGACATGAAAATGTACTGTTGCTGAAGGATGGAGAAACCAATATTGGAAAAATTGTTCTACTTTAGGGGTTTTTTGCAAGTGTTTTAGCTGCACAGTAAAACAAGAAGAAAGTAGATTATAATCAAAGCATTTCCATCTTAGTTGTAAACAATTACAGCAATACTTGCATGGATGCCACATTAGAAGAAATTTACTGGATTCCATTCTAATGCAATTAGAGCTAATTTTGTTCTTTAAATGAATAAAAGGTCAGCTAGTAAATCTAGTTTATCTCAAGTCCAGGCTTCAATACATTGTTTTATTTAATTTGTTGTAAAAGATCTTATCCTTAATGGGCCTAGCTTTTATTAGTTTGCTTGGGTTCTAAAATATTTATGACCACCTTTTTAGATATGATTTGAATGATACGTTGGAAGGGTTTTTCACTGGGGTTTTTTTCCACTCCAGTATTATCAAGGTAGATTGCTAACTGAGTTAGTATAGGAAGGAACTAGAGATGCTATCTTTTTAAAAAAAAACAAAACAAAACAAAAAACCACAGCTAGTATAGACTTTTAAATTCTAAATCAACTGCAAATGATGAGCAGAATTTAATACTTTTAGTCGATTGCATCATGGTTTCTTTTTGTCTAGTTATTTTTCCCAAGCACAATCATTTTTCATACATGTTTTTTAAAAGCATATCTGTTGATGGGGTGTTGACATTCCAGCTACTACCACAGTTGACATAAACTTCAGCAAAAGTATGTGCTGTGATTTTTGATACTTCAGATAAATTTTTTCTACATTTAAATACAGTTTTTAAGAAAAAACACATGGCTTCTGACACTAATGCCAGACCACAAAGCAGAGTACCACTCACTGCTGCTGTTTCAGTGCTTCTGTGACTTAGAAATATTTTTTGTGAAACTGGGTCTCCAAATTTGCCTTAAAATGTCAGGCTTTTGCTCCAGACTTGTACTGCATTGTACCATAGCTCTGCCATCAGCAGGGAACCTGGAAACCAGACATGAGAAGGGGAAAGACAGGTATTTTAACAGTGTTTAACTTGTAAATGTGACCTGCCACCCTAATGAAGTTGCCCCTTGTCTTACATATTTTTAAAGTGAGTAGATATGTGACTTTCTCCCCAGAAAATCGCACACATGCTCAGATATGTATGTGTATGTGTCTAGAAGAAAATGTATATTAAATAACCTGTGGATTGTAAAATAAAATCCTAAAAGGATTAAGGAATAGAAGAACTTTTGTTATCCAGATATTTAATTGACTCCACTAAAGCTTTTTATCACTTGGTAGGATATTATCAGTCCGAGGCTCACTCAACTGCATGATATACCCATGAGAAAAGCCACCAGCATAGCTAGCTGACATCCTTTGTAGGGAAGCTTAAAGCCAAGTGGCATATATATAGACCAAATTATTCTGCAACCAGTAGATGTGACCTCTGTGTGTACTATTGGTGACCCAGAAGCATACTTTTGGGACTAAGAGGACAGGGGAACCTGTCCTGTGGCTTTCTGTTTTATTACACTGAGTTTCTGTGATCATCGATCTAAGAACTTCTGTCACAATAAGGTGCTGATAGCACATATTTTTGTAAGTTGGCAAAATAGCTTGTGTCTGAAAAAGTGGAAGCCTGAAAGGAAATGTAGCTTGAGAAAATCTCCACAGTGAAGATATAACCCTACCTGAAACACAGCTGGGCTGTTGGAGGAGTTTATTTTTCATAAATTTACATGGTTTGGCTCATCACTGC